AATGGGGTTGAGCATCAATTCATACCTTTATTGGCTGTGGTATCCTTCCTTGCGAAGTTCCTATTAAATCTTTTTTATTATTACTGTTAATTTGGAGGAATTATTTCTGTCTTCTGCTAATTAAGTCCTTTATCCAGTACATGTACTACATATATCTTCCTCCTATCTGTTACTTGCCTTTTTTCTATCTTAATGGTGGCATTTATTGAACAGAAATTTTCTGTTCAAAATGTGGAGAAGATGTCCTGAAGATTTGGGGCAGATCCATAATGGTCCATAAACAAGAGATTTCATTACAAACTCTTTACATTAACTAACTGTAATGTAGAACAGGAGTTTGTTATTTTGGGGTTTTGAGATCTGTTATTTTAACTATGTTTATGTTCTTATGGCCTTTTTAAAAAGTGATTGGATATACTATTTTAGATTTTTCTTAAGTTAAAAATCCAACTGTATAAAGTGTTTCTAATTATAGTATTCCTTAGTTTTTTATTTTCTAAGTGTCATTTGCCCTCGTAGAAAACATTGTTTCTACTCAAAATGTTTTCTGTATGCTTTCAAATAATTTGTTTTGACCTGTTTTGCACTGATTTATTTCTCTTGTGCCTTGCAAGTATTTTAAAGTATCAGCTATTCAAATTAAATAATTTTCTATAGTATAATATGAGCAAATGATTTATCCTTCTCCTCTGACCTCTATAATGTACATTGAACACTTCTTAAGTGGTTACTGTCTGTGGCTTACTTAAACTTTTATCTTGATGGCATTTTTAACGGTTCAACGAAGTTTTTACACGTAGTGAATTTGGTTTTTTAATGGAATGATTAGAAAGTTCATCTCATATTAATAGATTGGAAATATGCTGTAGCCATTTTTCAGAGGAGAGCAAAATTACACCCATTTATATTTTTCCTATACCTTTATGTATTCTTTTGAGTTAGATGAAGAATAAGCTAATTTGTTGCCTTTAATTAGCTTCTTAAGTTCTCATTTCCTGTTCATTGTCTTTACCCTGTATGTAATGTAAGTCAGTATCAGCTCTATTTTTTAATGCATTTTTAAAAAGTAAAATGATCTAAATTTACTTGAATTCCTGTTAGTGTTCCTTCTTTTGAGATTAAAACTGGCAGAGCCTAGACTTTTAAAGAATGTTATACATGATATCCTTTTTTATAAAGGAAAGAACTCAAGAGATCATTTTCTAAGATCACTTAGTGAGTCAGAGAAATAGTTGTTATAGCCCTTGAGTCAACTCTGAGTCCTACTTGGTAGAAATTTTCTAATTGTAATCAGTAGGCTTGTTGAATACTGTTTTTCTCTTGATAATTAATGTCATACTATATATTATTGAGTGTTCTGGCAGACTCCTGAGGAGAGGGTCAGAGGCATTATCCTGAGTTTTCCTTTTGTGGTAAATTTCCTAGGACTTAATAAATAAAACTTAACCAGAAGAAGGGTTCCTAGGATTCTTACCCAAAAGGCAGTGATTATAGTGCTCATAATGCTTTGAGTGCAAGGACCGTGTGCTGTTGATTGTTGTCTCCCCTGAAGTGTCTAATGCATAATAAATGCTCAGTAATATTGTTGAATTGAGATGAGAATGTGAATCATTTGATAAAAATAAAGGAAAAAAGAAGTTGGCTATTTGATATACAGGAGACAACTAATCTTTAAAGGGTCAGATAAATTGGTTAGAACGCTGACCAGTGTTCCTCTAATATGCAGAAATGTGTCCATTCAGTTAGTTGTATGGGTGGGCACAGGGTTGTATCCATACACATTTCTGGCTTAGCTAAAGATCCAAGTCCTAATCACTATCAAAATTTCCAGAACAGTCTGTGTTCCCTTTATCATGAATGAAGCTATGTTAGCTCCTTTAATGCTCTTCCATCATCCCTTCTTTGATTCCTCTAACACAGGGGTCCCAAAGCCCTGGGCCGCAGACTGGTACCAGTCCTCGGCCTGTTAGGAACCAGGCCACACAGTAGGAGGTGAGCGGCGGGCGAACCAGCGAAGCTTCATCTGCCGCCTTCCATCGCCCCCCATCCCTGGCGTTACCGCCTGAACATCCCCCCGAACCCGTCGTGGAAAAATTGTCTTCCATGAAACCAGCCCGTGGTGCCAAAAGGGTTGGGGACCACTGCTCTAATATGTCCCACTTCCTTGTCAAGGGAAGCATCCCCATCTGTGGTCTTATTTCATCCTTTTCTGCCTACTCTAGGAACTAATTGCATCAGCCATCTCCCTCTTTCAGTATCTTCAATTTTACCTTCTTGTGTTAGTGGCATATTTTCTTCTATCATTTTCAAAGCTTTCCTAGCCTTACAAAAAAGCCTTCCCTTGACTCTGTTTTTCCTCAAGCTACTCTCCTGACTTTGTCTTCCTCTTTGCCATTGAAATTACACAAACAAGTTTTCTTTTTAATAAATAAATTTATTTATTTTTTATTTATTTATTTTTGGCTGCATTGGGTCTTTGTTGCTGCGCGGGCTTTCTCTAGTTGCTGAGAGCGGGGGCTCCTCTTTGTTGCAGTGGCTTCTCTTGTTGCGGAGCATGGGCTCTAGGCGCATGGGCTTCAGTAGTGTGGCTCGTGGGCTTCAGTAGTTGTGGCTCGTGCGCTCTAGAGTGCAGGCTCAGCAGTTGTGGCACACGGGCTTAGTTGCTTCGCAGCATGTGGGATCTTCCCGGACCAGGGCTTGAACCCATGTCCCCTGCATTGGGAGGAAGATTCTTAACCACTGTGCTACCAGGGAAGTCCCCACAAACAAGTTTTTATTCACTTCTTCACCTGACACAATGTCCTCTCCTCCATCTTTGTTCTTTTTGACGTTTCTTCAGCCTTTGACCTTCTTGACTACTTTTATAGCCTCATATAGTATGAGGAGGTAGGCTTTGGAGTTGGCTGGCTTAGGTTTGGATTCCTGCTCTGTGTGACCTTGGACAAATTCATGAGTCTGGTTTCCTCATTTGTAAAATGTGCATATGTGTGAACATACTTGCCTGAGAGCTAAGGAAAATGTGCTCAATTCCTTCCCTTCCTTGATTTGCTTGCTTTCTGACACATTGCACTATCCTGTATTGCCATGCCATTTATGAGGTGGGTAATATTTATTATCTTCATTTCACAAATGAGGAAACTAAGGTCAATCATGTAGGAGGCAGTGGAGCTGAGATTCCACCTCAGAGCTGTCTCACTCTAGAGTCCAAAACCTTAGCCTCTGTGCTGAAGTGCCAGCATATTGAGTGGTTGGAGACTACAGTTTCTTCTTCTATTATATCTGTCTTATGAAAACATCTTTTAATATTTCATGAAATGTCTGAACCAATGGAGCTTTTTTAATGAAATTTTCTTCCCATTTTTTTTTCTAGTTTGTGTATATGGCACAAGCACAGACAGCTGGGGACCTTAAGTGGCCTTTCTTATGAAATTAGTTGGTAGCCAGGTGAGGAAGTATGGCGAGAGACAGAGTTTTGTGTCTAGATGGCACATAAAGTACCAAACTAAGAATTGAGGACACAGGCAGTTAATCATAGCAGTAGTACTGAGTGAGGTGCATAATTGTGAGCTTGCACACCGCAGCCCTGTTGGAAAGGGAATTGTAGCTTCATTGTTTTTGCAGACTAGAAAAGATAGAAGGTAGCTGTGTCCCTCCCTGAAGTACACCTTTTAGCATTGTGAATGAAGTTCTTCTAGATCTTCATTGTGATAACGTGAGCATTGCCCTGACCAGAGAAAACTACTGGGTTTGGAAATAAAATGGACGCATTACCTACTTGGCTATGGAAAGGATGGGCCCCCAGCACAGTATGCGGACTGCTGCAGGGTGCCATCATCCTTGTGGCCTGCACTCAGAAAGGTGAGAACATGGAGTAGGAGCGCTGTCAGGGCATTGAATGGGATCATGTCCATACAGCACTGAGGGCAGAAGCATGAGTTCCTGCGAATATGAACTAGATTCATAAAAGACTTAATTGTTTCTCTCTCCTTCTCATCTTCTCTTCAGCATTGTGGCTGTAGGTAGGGTATGATCTTCCCTCAGCTTTTCCTGTACAGTAGTCATCTATTTAAGCTCTGGCAACTGCTTGGTAAGATACTGCCCTACCCTCTCAGTCTGTTGTCTGAATCTGTTGCCAGATTTGAGGATGATACAGAGAACCTGGAATCTTGATGTGGGGAGAGTTCTTTGAACTCAAAAAGTGAAATTTCATGCCTTTGAGACAGTCGCTCAACAACATGCCTGAAAACTATATATTGCAATTACAAAGGAAAGGGCAGGCCTCAGATTTATACGCATGTAATGGGACCGCCTGCAGCAGCTGTTGCATTCACAGCCAGACACACGTATTGGAACATCAGTAATAACATCTTTAAAGTCAGAAGGAAGTGGCATAGCATTGTAGCCAAGGAGTCAGGCCTATATTTCTTATTTTATCAAATATTTAGGTACTAGAGAAGACTACGTCACAATACCTTGAATTATTGTCTCTCTCTTTACTTCCAAGGTAAGTGGATTTATTTTTAGGTGAAGACTATAGTTAAGACACTTTTCTAGAGTCACAAAGTGGGAAGGAGGAGCTACTGTATTTCTGCTCTTTCACTTTATATTAGAAAGTGAAATGTCTGTCCTCCGATACATTAGTGCTTTGTGAGATGTGTATTAGTTTTATTTAGGCATAATCACTGCTTGCTTATTATGTAGTTGAGATGATAATTTATGTCAGGCAGGCTACAAAATGTAGATGTACTTTATTACTTCAGTTATGGATATAGGATTTATTCCACTTGTAGAATGATCTGTTTTGTTGTACCAGATGAGAAAATTTTGTTTGGTGCTTTGGCAGGATTAGGCTAAGGCATAATCTTATTTTTATGAGACTTCGTTGTATGAAAGTATTGTTAAGGAGCAAATTTTAATATGATTTATATCAAAACTCAGCTAGTTTATTATAAGCAGTAAAGGACTATTGGGCTAAAACTAGTAAATTTTTTCTCTAATAGGTAATTAATAAAATGTCTCCAACATCCCTAAAGATCACACTAAGGCAACTCATGGAGGGGTCTTCCAAGACCTTGCAGGAAGTATTAACTATGGAATATCGGATGAGTCAAGCTTGTATGGTAAGAATTTTTCTTTGAAGTATTGTCATTTTCTAGTTATGAAAGTCATATGTGTTCATTGTAGAACATGTAAAATATAGAAAATTTATAAACAAGAAAATTGAAACTATCTATAAATCGATTCTATGAAAATACAACAGGCCAGTTAGCTTAAGGCACGTGGGAATATTGCTCACAGATTGTTAATAAGCCTTTATGGAACAGCAGTTACCTTTGCATGTAATTGTAAGAAGGACTCTAACCTCGTGAAATTCAGAATAGAAATTTTAACCATTTTTCAGGCATAGTCTCTGACCTTGGGCAAGAAGCATAAATTCTCTAAATGCACAAAGGGAAGTTATTAGTCTTTTATATGTTTTAATTAATAGATTAGCATTGAAAATACCATTATAGATACACTTAAAATAGGCAATAATCACATAGAATACTATTGATTTCATGAAATATTTTAGAGTCATAGTGATTTATTCTTCCAGATAAAGTCTTTATTTTTATTTATTTATTTATTTTTTTGGCGGTACGTGGGCCTCTCACTGTTGCGGAGCACAGGCTCCAGATGCCTAGCGGCCATGGCCCATGGGCCCAGCCACTCCGCGGCATGTGGGATCCTCCCGGACCGGGGCACAAACCCGTGTCCCCTGCATCGGCAGGTGGACTCTCAACCACTGTGCCACCAGGGAAGCCCCCCGAGATAAACTCTTTAAAAAAAAAAAAAATTTATTTAGGCTGTGCCGGGTCTTTGTTGCGGCATGTGGGATCTTTTAATTGCGGCATGCGGACTTATAGTTGCAGCATGTGGACACTCAGTTGCGGCATGCAAACTCTTCAGTTACAGCATGCACATGGGATCTAGTACCCTCACCAGGGATCAAACACAGGCCCCCTGCGTTGGGAGTGCGGAGTCTTACCTGGTGGACCACCAGGGGAGTCCCCAGATAAACTCTTTTAAAGCAGAATTATCTCTTTTGTGTTATGTGTAGAGGACCCTTAGATTAATACTTTCATGGCCTAAAGGAAATATTATGTTTAATAACTAGAAAGCAGACATACCTAATGGTCTTCAATGTCCTGAAATAGTGAAGATATTCAAAATAGTTCATCCAACCATAAATAAAGCTCTATTAGTCATATATTGAGGTCACTCCATAGGATGTAAATGGCAGCTGAGGTCTTTTGTTTATTATGAGTAGGTACTATGCTAGGCACTTTACGTGCATTCTCTCAGTTAAATATTACACTATCTGTAGAAGGCAGGTACTATTATTGTTTCCACTTTACAGATGAGGAAACAGTGGCATAGAAAAGTAAAGTAACCTGCCTAAGGTGGTGCAGCTGTTAAGTGGCAGAGACATGGCATGTGAAACCAGATGGTCACGCTCCTGACCCCTACCCAGTACACTTCACCCAGTCCCTGTTTTTCACTGTACATTTAGTGTACTGCCTGGATTGATTGAGTCTCTCCTTCCTTCATTCTCTCAGCAAATATGTTTAGCTATGTGCCAGGCACTGTGCTAAGTATTATGCTGTTGTATGTCCTTGTTCTCATGGGATTTATAGCCTCCTGAGACTATAAAGAACAAGTAAACAAAATAAGTAAAATAATTACAAATTGTGGTAAGTGTTCTATAGGAAACCTACAGGGTTGGTGATAGAATGATGTGAGGACAAGAGGGAATGGGGGAAGCAAAGGGAAAGCTTTAAATAAGTAGGTCCAGGAAGACATCTTTGAGATGTCAGCTCATCAGTGACCTGAAGGGTGAGAAATGAGAATGTTGAAAAGCCTCGTGGGTTTCAGCAGGGGGTGATTTGGTTTTAGGAAGGTAATTATTGCTACTGAATGATAATGGGGTTGGGGAGAGGATTCAGAGTGGATGTAGAGATCAGATATGAGTTTACTGCAGTAATCCAGGTGCAGAATAGTAGTGGCTTAGACTAGAGTGGCAGTGGAGAGAAGTAAATGGATTTAAGACAAATGTAGGAGATAGAATTGATAGGCCTTGATGGATATGAAGGAAAGAACACATTTAGGAGTTGGAGCTTAGAGGTGTGGGTTAGAGATTTAAGTCTGAGAGACATTAACGCCAATTAAAAAAAAGAACACTTTGGAGATTTATTTACTTAACAAATAAGAGTGCTTACCATGTGCTAGGCACTAATATATAGGTAAACAAAACAGAGACATCCCTGCCCTCCTGGAACTTACTTTATAGTGGGGGAGATAGACTATAAACAGATAAGTTTGTAAAATATGTAGTATATTATTATAGGTGCTAAGGAGCACAAGTAAATCAGGAAGGAGGGTATGGAATACAGGGGGACAGGAGCTGAACTTGTAGATAGGAAGACCAGAGAAGACCTCACTGAGATGATGTTCTTTGAGTGAAAACCTGAAAGAAGTGTGGAAGCGAGCCATGCACTATCTGGAGGGCACCTGACGTACAGAACTCTGAGGTGAGGGGTGGCCTTCCTGTTCTAGGAACTGCAGGGGGGCCTTGCTGATGGAGTGGGGCAGGGGTGGTCGGTGAGTGAGAGAGAAAGGAGGTCAGAGCGGACAGCATAGGCAAGGGCTGTGCAGAGCATACATGGCCGTGGAGGTCCTTATAAGCCTTTGGCTTTTGTTCTGAGTAAAATGGGAAGGCACTGGATGTTTTCTGAGCAGAGGAGGGACAGGATCTTATTTTTAACAGAATTGATCACTCAGGCACTGATGTGTTGAGTTTAGAGTGGATAAGATCATATAGAAGGAAAATGAGCAGTGGAAGAGAAAATGGACAGAGGTGGAAGAACCAGGAGAGCATGGTGTCATGAAAGCAGGAGAGGAGTGTTTCAAGGAGGAGGGAACACTGCCAAAGCCTCTAGTAGACGAGGATAAAGGCATGCTTTGCGTTTGGCGATACTGAAGTTACAGATGATTTTGGCAAGCCATCTCGGGTGTGTGGAGGCAGAAGTTGCAGTGTGGTAAGCTGGAGGGGAAGTGAGTAAATGGGATGTGAAGAATTGAAGACTGTGTGCACAACCCTTTCTTCTTGAAACAGAAATAGGGTAGAAGCTGGGACTGTGGAATCAAGTGAGATTTCCTTTGGAAGATACTAGAACATGTTTGTAAATGATTGGGAATGAGCCAATAGGGAAAAAGGATTATGTTAATGATACTAATAATAGTTAACATTTACTGAACACTTACTGTGTGTCAGATGCTGTGCTGGAATGTGGATTAAGATAATCTTAGGATGGATGTGTTGATATTACCATTTCATATAAGGAAACTGGGAGTTAGAGAAATTACTAGCCCAAGGTCACATAGTTACTGTGTAATAGAGCCAGGAGGTGAACCCAGGACATTTGAACTGCATGCACTCAACCACTAAGTTATACTGCCTACATTGATGATGGCAGGAAAAGAGAGACAGGTGACCTTCTCAGGCTTAGTCCTTGAGAAGAGGGCATATGAATGGGAAGGCAGGGGAGGATTGGCCTTTGGCAGGGGTGGGTCCCTTCTTCCTTAGATGGGAAAGGGAAGGCATGTAAGATGGCTGTAGTTGGGCTGCAGATGTTTTGGTGGGAAGAAGAGAATATTCTTAGGGCGTCTTTTTTTCTTTTTAAATAAAGTAGAAGGTTAACTCATTAGCTGGAGAATATAGTGTAAAGGGTAGAACTTGCTAGGGGAAGAGGTTGAGGGGACAGAAGACAGTTGAAGTCATTATCTTGCATTGGGGAAGAGAACATGGATTGTGAGGCAGTTTTCCATGCCTGTTTGAGATTTGTGATCATGAATTTTAAACGAAGCCAGTCACAGTTGTATGATTTTTCTGCAGTAAGATTTTAGCTGCTCGAACACAGGCAGGTAAATAGTAGGGTTCAGCTGGTGCTGAGATTTTGCCGAGATAGAATAAAGGGCGGGGGGAAAGGCTTGAGGGAGATAAGGGTGTTTTCAAGAAAAAAAAAATGACCGCATTAATGAACTGCGGAAACTGGGCTGGATGAAGAGCAGAGTGAAGCCAGAACAAATGGTGAGAAAGTCGCGTAGATCAGCGGAGCTCAGTTAAATCAGGGATTTGTAGCAGTGGAGATATTTGAGCAAATAAGAAAAGGAGGAGGTGATCAGAGTGGGTTCTCAGAGGTGGTCCAGTCTCTGAATGTCATGGCTCAGGGTGTGGCCACGGAGTGGGGGCTAAAGTGGCTGGAAGAGAGGAGATGATCAGGAATGAAGATGCCCAGAAATTCTGCATTTAATCTTGATTTTCTTTCAGAGAGGCCATGACTTTCATGAAGGTGTTAGGGCAGGTAAGTGACAGTTGTTTCCTTCCTGGCTATTATGGAAATAGGATTTTTGAGCAGATACTGTTGAAGAAAAAAAAAAAGATGATGGTTGTTTGATTAGTGAAAATCAAACTTTTATAAAAATTGCAAAGTGTTTTTTTTGAATATTACCAACTGGCATATGAGGGAAGACCAGTCTTTGAAACCAGTATTGTTTAAAAAATTCCAGTAATGTGGCCACCGCTCCCTAATGTATATATAAGAGGTAATCATTCTCCTACAGTCACATGGACTCCCTCTGCTAAGTGCAGCATGAGTTTGTAAATTAATTCTGCTGCTGAAGCCTTTGCAAGGTACGTTTATTCTCCTGCAGAAAGGCCTGAAGTCCCCTCTAAAATCCCAGCTGTGTTGGACCCTACCATCCACCTCTTCGCCTGAACCTAGCAGTTAAACATTGACATTGAGAAAAAAACATGGCATAATTAGTAACATATGCTACTATTATTAATTTCTATTTTTGCTTATCATCTTCAAAGTAAGAATATTAAGAAAAAGCTAGTGAAGTAGTTGATTTTTTTTGTTCCTAGCAAATCTGCAACCATTTCTTTTTATGTATAAGTCCATATGCCTATAAATAGTAGCTGTCATTTATGTTGTATAAAATGAGTTCTTTCACTCTGCTTGTATTTTACATATCTAATTTTCTTATGTTTTTATTTATCACTTTAATATAGTACAGACTCTAGATATACTTTATCTGAATAAAAGGTTATGCTCTCTGAGCTGTAAGCTTCAATAAACACTGGTCACTGTGGTATAATTCTCTTCATTTCTGGCATGATATAGTATAAGAAAGAAACAAATCCTTTTAGAGGACACGTGGAGTTGAGTCAGAGGAAATGGCTATATGTTTTATAGAAAACATGCATTCATCCTACTAATCCCCTGCAAATTCTTGCTGCATGTGGATCACAGCTTAGACCTCTGATTTTAGGAGGACCTGTGTGCTACTTGGATTATGTTGCTAAAGTATTCATTCATTATATGTTATAGCAGCCCTTCTTAAACTTAGAAAAGAAAGGTATTGTCTTTTAGATATCCTGTCAATTATTTTAAGGAAAAAGAGCTGAAACCAAGCAGCACCAAAGTTCTGATTCATAGCCCAGGTGCTTATCAAGCTACTTTTTAATGAAGAGAAAGTATGTAACCTCATCTTTCAGCATAATCTCTTTATTCAGAAAGCAGTATCTGTTCTGGGTAAAACTGTTAAGATGTTCTTACATAACCAAATGTTTGCTACAATTTACTAATTATAAAGTATGTTACCAAATTAGATAAAATAAACTATCAAATTAGGGGAATGGCTGTAAAAAATTCTTACTTTTAACATCTAGAATAAACTTCTTCCTTTAGAAGAATTTACAGGAAAAAATTTTTTAAAGGATTATCTCAGAAGAGCTAGACAGCTACCAACTGGAATTTGAGTGGGTGCCTCATGAAACCTGAAAAACCTGAGTTGTCTACACGGCAAGAACTTGTTTTATCTATGCTAGAATAAAAATTTTGTTAGTTTGAAATTAAATAACATGCAAATTTGATTAATATTTTCTTTCCATTTGACCTTCAGTGGACTGTCAAGGAGGTAGATAGCATTGACCCAGAGGGCTTTTAGGGAAGAGATTCTTGTAGAAAGAATGCTCCAGGATTGTTTTTATTTACTCTGTCCAGGGAATGTAAAACTTTCAAACTGGCAGGGATCATAACATCAGTGTTCAGTATCACCACTGATCTGACACTGGAATCCTATAGTTAGGCAGCCAAACCTTGAGAACCTCCAGTATCCACATTTAATTATGCATAAAGCCCCCTTCTCTCTACCTTCTGAGGCAGCCTACTGCCTTTGGTTCCCAGATTGCTTCTTTAACTATTTCGCCTTTTAGTGATTAACTCATTTTTTAAGGTTCACTGTAGGCTTTGTATGTTTAAATACTTTAATTCCCCACAAGAATTACGCACACTTTAAGCATGGCTGAAATTCCTTACCACAGCCAGACTAGGTACAGCCCCATTCTCTTTCTTTTTTGTTTTTAATTTTTTGAGATAATTGTAGATTCAAATGCAGTGTAAAAAAATAATATGGAGAGATCCTGCATACCCCCCACCCAGTTTCCCAAATGGTAACATTTGTATAACTGTAGTATACTATCACAACCAGGAAATTGACATTCTCCTCCCTTTTTAAAGGAGGTTATGGATTGATTGCCTCATACTTAAAATCCTGTGGGGATACTATGTGGCTACACCAAGTGATGACTACACTGAAATAAGCAGAGCTTCTCATGATAACCTGAAGGTGGTCTGGTATTTTAATTCAGTGTGAGCTAGAAGATTCAGCAAAACAGTTGTATCCACATTTAATTATGTATAAAGTCCCTTTCCCTGTACCTCAGGTAAGTTTCCTCTCAGTTCAATGTGGAGGAGGTTAGAAGACAGATCTGGGCCCTACCCACTCTCCTGCCTTCCCTTTAAGCCACACCAACTCTGGTTTTACCTCTTTTATAAAAAGCTAAAGAGAGATTTCATTTATTATATTATTAGAAAAAGAGTTCTAAGGCTTAAACCACTGGATTAGTTCAGCAGACTGTATTCAAGCTAGAGACATCAGGCTTAGCAGGTGAGGTCATCATCCAATTCTGTGAGGGCTTAATTTAAGGGGAAAAAGAAAAAGGAACACATACAGAAATTTCAACTTTGCAGAAAAAGATGTGCTATAGAAAAATATGCCTAGTCCAAGGTAGTTTGTGTCAATTCAGTAATTAAAATCTGGTAATAACCAAAGAGAATACTAACGTTTCTTATGTCTTGACAGTTTTAATAGATAAAGACCAGAGTCCGAAGTGGAAACCAGCTGATCTAAAAGAAGTTACTGATGAAGCTTTGAATAATCACTTCAAGTCTCTGGGAAGTAATGATTTGAAATTTTGAAGAGACTGGATTTTTAAAGTATTATTTCGGAGCAGAGTTGGCAAACTATGGCACATGGGCCAAAGCCAACCTGCTGCCTTTTTTTTTTTTCATATATCCCTCAGCTAAGAATGGTTTCTGCATTTTTAAATGGTTGGAGAAAGAAATCAAAGACCAATATTGTGTGGCATGTGAAAATTACATGAAATTCAAGTATCACTGTCCATAAATAAAACTTTATGGGAACATGGCTTTACTCATCTGTTACATATCTGTGGCTGCTTTGAGTAGTTGCAGTAGAGATTATAAGGCCTGCAAAGCCTAAAATATTTACTGTCTGGTCCTTTTCAGAAAAATTTTGCCAGCCCTATTTTAAAAGATGGGAAAATTTGAAGGTCTTAGATTCTTGAGTTAGTATATCTAATTGAAATGGGAACTTTATGTTTTGGCTTAGGGTATTGGTTTTTAATGTTGATTAAGTAAACTTTATAGGTTATAAAAAATAAAAACTGAAATTTTTTTGGATACTGTGTTAACACTTCATAGAATTTTCTCCATATATAAATCTATTTTAAAATAATTATGAGTTTCTGTAGCTGAAGTGTTCCTTTTATAATGATAGAAATCTCAGGCAAAGAGAAAAGGTTATTATGAGGTTGTCTTTCCAGTATTATCGACTCAGCCTTGGCTTTTTCTGAAGTTAACCAGAATCTCTTCCTATGGGGAAAGTAAAAGCATTATTTCTTGTTGTTTAGAGTATTTGCTAATCTGGCAGAATGAGGCATTAGAAAACTCTAATCTCTAAGATAGAGACACTCTGCCCTCTGCAATTTACATCAGACTTTTGTGTGATAACAGTAATTTGTTCTTACACAGTTCAAATCAGGAGAAAGGACTTGAAAACAAGAGGACTTCTGTTCAAAATAGAAGTACCTTCAGTAATTGGTGCTGTTGACAAAATAAGTTTTTTTTAAGGTACACAACTGTGGATGTTCCAGACTTGGAACATTAATGTTTAGGTAAGAATTATTTTTAAATTAAAGATCAGCTTATGATTTACTTTATAGCTTGGTACAATTTTTCCATAATTCTAAACCCCTCAGAAACTAAGAGAACTTTAGTTTTGTGAAAGAATGAAAAGCAGGCAGAACCGGAAAAGACATCAAAGATTATATCCTGCACCCTTCTCAGAGATGAGGAAATTGCAGTCCAGAAGGAATTGCTTTAAATTTTCTTTTCTCAATATACTTAACATGAAGCATTTTTCTTCCCCCCAAAATTAGGAACATATTTGGAAAAAAAATGCCATGATAATGAACATGTTTACATTTATATTCTTAAAGCTTCTAAATGTGGATGTGAATGATCTAAGAAAATACTTGTGTAAATGGACTTTTATTTTCTTTGTATTTGCTAGAAATGCAGAAAATGTTAAGTCCTTTATGTTAAAAAATTTGAAATCACACAATGGTGAAAAGCATTTGCTTGCTTCAATTAAATAAGGACTCATAACTAGTTAATTGCAACTAGACTTTTATTGAACAGTTAGGAAAAATGTTTTCACAAAAATATTTGGGAAAAAATATACCATTTCATAGCTAAGTCTTACAGTGAAGAGAATTTGCTAACAAAAGTTGAGTTTTGCCAAGTAAGATGTAGGGAATACATCTGAGCCTGTGCCCACTGCTCCAAGGAAGACATGTCCAGTTTGGTCACACAAATACAGGATGGGGGCATTATGATTAAGCAAACAATTTATTTGTTAGAACTTTGTTTTTAAATTACTGTTCCTTGACATTATTTATAATTTGTCTCTAACTTTTGATTTCTCAAACTATATAATTACAAAAGTATAGTCCCCCCATCTCATACAATGCCAGTGATACTGAGTAGGATATATGAGTGTCATCTACTTCATTCAACATGTCTCTTTTTAATACTTATAAGGCAGTTTGACACAAATGATTCCTTTGGGACTAAGATAATTTTTATCCCCTTCAAAATTGTGCTTTAAGTGCTAATAACCATAGGTAGTTTGCAAAGAACTGATAAGGCAATGGAAAGTGGAGAACTGTCAGGTCAAAGGCCTGTGACTGAAAGGTAATAACTAGCACTCAAAAGACACTGAACTGGGAAGGGAGCAGTGAAGCACATGTGTGGGGTTATGTGAGTTTTCTTAAATGAGGAATCAGCACATTTCTCTCTGCTAATCTGCTGCTTCCAGAGTTGCCCCCTGCAGGTTCTTTGTCATGCTGGTGGCACTCATCTGCCCCTCTACTGGATGTTCTTGAGGGAGAAGATTCAGTGGTTGGGCACATGTGAGTGTGGTAAAGAACGGAACAGAACTTGGCTACTGTGTCCTTCCCCTCAGATGAAAACACTGGAAACTTGTTTTTGGAGCCTGATGTGAGTGTTGTTTCTTGGGCCCTCTTTTCCCCATTTTCTTTTCCCTTATGATTTGGCCACTATTCTTATTTCTTCTGTGTTTGTGATCTAAGTTGGAACGAATGTTTCCCATTCCAGTAGCTAATAATTCTTTCAGTCTTCTGTTTTCCTTCCTTCTCAAGCAGCCCTTCTACTCTTTGTTCATGAAAGACCTTCAGAATGAAGTAAATCCAATATTTAAAGATGAAGGTATGTAAGAAGTTGAATTATCGTATCAAAGATGTTCTCATTAATCTTGTCATCTAGGCCAAACCATATCTTGATAACCATCATACGCAGTATATTTGTTGATCCAGCTCTTTCCTGCCTGCCCCCAACTTGGTTTATCCACTAACTCACTGATTATGCAAGCCTTTGTAGTTCCGTGTCCATGGTTTGACATATTATACAGCATACGTCTCCGTAAGTGTCTGTATGTCACAAGATACTATACTGTTAAAGTGAGTCAGGGGCAAGGGGGTGGTGCTCAGTGACAAAACCCTATTGCCATAGTATCAGAGAGGGTGGCAACAGAGATTAGACCCTTAGATACGGGTCTGGCAGGCCTGCCTGTATTTTACCCCTAGAAAATAGAGGCCCAGGGCAAAGGAGGAACCTGAGATCAAAATATTTAGATATAATCAAAGCCTACTAGTCTATGTCCCTATGTATGCTGAAAAATTTAGTGTGATGCGCTGCTTTTATATGGCTTTGTGTTCTCACCATAATATGTATTATCTTATATACTTACTTATATCTTTTAAACAGCAGTGACCTTGCGGCAAAAGTATCTGATGTAAAATATAAAATGAATGAAAAACGGCAACATCTAGGCTTTTGTCTGAGTCATTAGCATAAGCACTCATAAACCTAAATTTTTCTTCATGAGCTGGAAATATGTTTTGCACTTTTTGGAAACTTTCTGTTCTTAGCCTTGTAACTTCAGATCCTTGTATAAACAGGGGTGGTGGGTTTTCTATTTTGTAAAGTTGCTAGATTATAAGTACAACAGGACAGTACAAACCCTGGGATTAGGTGAAAGTTAAATGACCAGTTGTCCAAAGGCAACTGAAAAGTGGCACACCACTCACTTCAAAAGAATTTTCTTTGCCAATTTACCTTGGAGAATTCAGTCTATTTGATTGTGGGTTTCAGAGTATAACTGCTAAAATTAGAGGTAGCAATTCTGCCTGCTTATAAGGTCATACACATTTATGTCATTAGAGGTCACAAGCCTTTTTCTGCCTTTCTTTAGATTTCAATGACCAGGCTCTGTTGTATCTTAATAAAAGGATCCAATTGCATGGGCTTAAATAATTCCTATTCCAGTTAAACTCAATGTGTGGCAAATCTTGATGAAAAGATACTTCTAAAGACTCAGTCTCAATTTTCTTGCAAGTTACATCTTCTAGTACCTTCTTCCCCCTTTCCTGAATTTTCTGTTACCACTGATCTTAAACAGTACTTAATTAAAAAAAAAAAAAAAAAAAGCCTTCCTAAAAAAGTAGCCAAATTTATGAAAATAGTATAGTATATGGCTATAAATGCCCCATGGGCTTTGTTACCATTAAAAATACACATGAGTATTCCCTTTGGAAGAGTATTTGATCTTTTGTAATAACTATAAATTCTCACGCATAATCTGGTCCCACAGTAATCTGAATGGTGATTGCCCATGTACCAGCCCCTTGCATCTGTGAGACAGTAAAGCTTAACATACACGCAGCACTGAGACCAGGTTCTTCTTTCCACCTTGCCAACTAGGGCTTCTGTTACTTTACAGTTTTCTGGATTGCTGTTTATAAAAGCTCCCCTGCTTGTTTCCTTGTATAGTAATATCACTGGGCTACCTAATTCAATGCAATAAACATTGTCATGACTTCTGTAAATTGTATATTGTTAAGATGCTTATATGCAAAGCCTGAGTCATCCAGTAACAGGTGTGATTAGTTAGGGCCCTGAGGTTCAAGGTGATGGTTATACTTTTCATCTACAAAAGTAAATATCTTATTAAGGACATGGTTCACGGTAGACCTCTTCCACATGGGTTGCTTTCTAATGCTTGGTCATTTGTGTTAAGAAGGGGAGGGATCCTTGACTCAAAAGATTTTGGCAAACAAGACCCACTGTTAACAGCTATGGCTTGAGTGCCCAGGCAATTCCCTTGCCCAGGCATTTCAAGAAAATCCTTTTCATGTCTTGTTTTTTTTTTTGTATAAATTGACAAATATTTTAAAAGAATGTCTTTAAAATGACCATTTTGAAAACACAGGTTTTAAATAAAATTCTTAAAATTTTTTTTTTAAATTTTAAAGTATTTTAAAAATTCTTAAAATTTCTTTGGTGATGGCATTGTTGCCTCTGGAAGAAGTGGTGTGACACAGCTGATTACTGTGGCACCAGAGGACTTACATTTAACCCTTTAATGACTAAAATCCAAGACCAAGCAGATAGAAATTGCTGTTAATGTAGAACTGCTTAAAACAACACTTCATTTTAGGTATTCTTAGACTCTTGATGGCTATCGAAATATTTTTCTTTACACCCAGATGGAGTTATTTGTATTTATTCACACCAGTTTTTGCTGTTGTTGCATGTATTTAAACTAGCACCAACTTTATCCACAGTTTGAGAAAGTGTCATCATCCTACACACAGCGTCAAGGCCCCTCACTCTCAATATATGGGATGTCATAGTACTTGAGGTGGTTGCCAGCCCACTGCTGCAAGGCATCACTCAAGATTTCCTGGGACAGGCGGTGTGCAAATTCAAAGACCACAATTTCAGGCCCTAGGGGTTCCTTCACTTCCTCTTTGACATTAACTAGAGAAGGCATCCTGAGTAGAAATCTCTCTTCAGGCATAAAGTTTTCTTCACTCTCATGCCTCTTCTCACTCTCGAGTGTGGTGGGAAATGGGAAAGTTTGCTTTGATTTCATGCAGCCCATGTTATGAAGAGCTTTGACTGAGTGAAGGAAAGCAGTAGCAAAGACTGCTTCAACAGCGTCTTTGGAAAACACCAAGCATTTGTCCACTTGATATTGAGCAGTGCTTTTCCTCTCCAGGCTACTTCAGAAATCAATGTTCCCTTTCACCAATCTTCACATATAGTGTTTATCTGTCAAGAGAAGGGAAGTTTCATTTTGAAGTCATAGAATGCAAACTACTGTACGATTTAGGTAGCAAGTAGAAACAAATCTTTACCACTTTCATCACTTGGAGGAAATGCAAGGTAACAACAGCTTTATCTTAATAGAAAAGATAATCATTTAAAAATGGCATTTAGAAATAGGAAAATGTCTTTTCAAGATCAGGCAAATTTTATAAAACTGACAACAAACTTGCTACCTTTGATTTATTTATGTACACCAGGGCTCAGCAAACTGTAGCCTTCGGGCCAAATTCTAGCTGCCTGTTTTTTCAAATACAGTTTATTTGAACATAGGCATGCTCATTTGTTACGTATTGTCTATGGCTACTTTCATGCTTTAGTGGCAGAGTTTAGTTGTGACAGAGACTGTGTGGTTTGCAAGCCTAAAATATTTACTCTGGCCCTTTGGAGTAAATATTTTCTGACTGACTGACTCTGATCTATACTGTTGAGGGAAACAAGCATATCAAAATTTGCTCCTGCCTCAAACATCATGGGCCTGCGTCCCTTGGTCACACATTTACAACTCAAAGAGTAGGACAGAATGATGGTCTTTCTTTACACTAGGGCCAGCTCTAAGCAACACAAGTTAGACACGGCAAAGCCACCTATTTTTCCTTCTGAATTAGATATTATGAAATTATGAAGCAAGGACAAGATGGTGGAGTAGAACGATGTGAGCTCACCTCATCTCACAAAAACAAACACCAAAATCACAATTGCTGAATGACCATCATCAACAGAAAAACACTGGAAGCTACCAAAAAAGATATCCGACACACAAAAACAAAGAAGCCACAATGAGATGGTAGAAAGGGTGCACTCGCAATAAAACCAACTCCCATATCTGCCAGGTGGGTGACCCACAAACTAGAAAATAATTATCTCACAGAGGTTCTCCCACAGGAGTGAAAGTCCTGAGCCCTACACCAGAACCCCCAGCCTGGGGGTCTGGCATCAGGAGGAGGAGCCCCCAGAGCATCTGGCTTTGAAGGCCAGTGGGGTGTGATCACAGGAATTCGACAGGACAGGCAGAAAAAGAAACCCAACTCTTGGAGGGTGCACACAAGGTCTCATGTGCACCAGGATCCAGTGGAAAAAGCAGTGACCTCATAGGATCCTGGGCCAGACCTACCTGCTGGTATTGGAGGGTCTCCTGTGGAGGCAAGGGGGGCGGCTGTGGCCCACTGTGGGGACAAAGACACTGGTGGTGGTAGTTCTGGGGAGTACTCGTTGGTGTGAGCCCTCCTGGAGGCCCCCACTTTCTCACCAAGACCTGGCCCCACTCAACAGACTGCAGGCTCCAGTATGGGGAAGCCTCGGGCCAAACAACCAACAGGATGGGAAGACAGCCCATCAGCAGATGGGCTGCCTAAAGTCTTCCTGAACCCATAGCTGCCTGCCAGACACACCCCTTGACATGGCCCTGCCCACCAGAGGGGACAAGACCCAGTTCCTCCCACCAGGAAGCCTGCACAAGCCTCTTAGACCAGCCTCATCCACCAGGGGGCAGACAGCAGGAACAAGAGGAACTACAACCCTGCAGCTTGTGGAGTGGAAACTGCAATCACAGAAAGACACAAGGACAGAGGAATATGTCCCACACAAAGGATCAAGAAAAAAGCCCAGAAGAACAACTAAAGGAAGTGAAGATAGGCAATCTACCCAAAAAATTCAGAGTAATGACAGTAAAGATGATCCAAAGTCTTGGCAAAAGAATAGAGGCACAGAACAAGAAGATAACAAGAAATGTATAATAAAGAGCTAGAAGATCTACTAAAGAACAAACAGAGATGAACAATACAATAACTGAGAGGAAAAATACACTAGAAGAAATCAGTAGCAGAATGAGGCAGAAGAATGGATAAGTAAGCTAGAAGACAGAATGGTAGAAATCAAAGACAAAAAATATTAAAACAAGTGAAAAGCAACAAATAACATACAAGGCAATACCCATAAGGCTATAAGCTGATTTATCAGCAGAAACTCTGCAGGACAGAAGGGAGTGGCATGATTATATTCAAACTGATGAAAGGGAAGAACCTACAACCAAGAACACCCAGCAAGGCTCTCATTCAGATTCGACAAAGAAATCAAAAGCTTTACAGACAAGCAAAAGCTAAGAGAATTCAGCACTGTCAGAACAGCTTTGCAACAAATGCTAAAGGAACTTTTCTAGGCAGAAAAAAAAAAAGACTACAACTAGAAACAAGAAAACTACAAATGGAAAAGCTCACCAGTAAAGGCAAACACACGGTAAAGGTAGGAAATCATCCAACACAAATATATCAAAACCAGTAATCATGAGAAGAGTACAAATGCAGGATATTAAAAATGCATTTGAAATTAAAAGACCAGCAACCTAAAACAATCTTATTTATATATAGAGTGCTATATCAAAACCTCATGGTAACTGCAAACCGAAAATCTATGATAGATATACACACACAGAAAAAGAAAAAGGGATCCAAACACAACATTAAAGATAGTCACCAAATCACAAGAGAACAAAAGAAGAAGGGGAGAAAAAAAGACCTACAAAAACAAATCCAACTCAATTAACAAAATGGCCATAAGAACATACATATCGATAATTACCTTAAATGTAAATGGATTAAATGCTCCAACCAAAAGACACAGGCTGGCTGAATGGATACAAAAACAAGACCTGTATATAAGCTGTCTAGGAGAGACCCACTTCAGACCTAGGGACACATACAGACTGAAAGTGAGGAGATGGAAAAAGGTATTCTATGCATATGGAAATCAAAAGAAAGCGGGAGTAACAATACTCAGACAAAATAGACTTTAAAATAAAGACTTATAAAAGATAAGGAAGGACACTACATAATGATCAAGGGATCAATCCAAGAAGATATAACAAGTGTAAATATATATGCACCCAACATAGGAGCACCTCAGTATATAAGGCAAATACGAACAGCCATAAAAGAAGAAATTGACAGTAACACAATAATAGTGGGGAAATTTTAGTATTAAAAATGTCATCAATGGACAGATCAGACAGAAAATCAATAAGGAAATGCCTTAAATAACACATTAGACCAGATGGACTTAATTGATATTTATAGAGCATTCCATCCAAAAGCAGCAGAATACACATTCTTTCCGAGTGCACGTGGAACATTCTCCAGGATTGATCCATGCTGGACCACAAAGCAAACCTCAGTAAATTTAAGAAAACTGAAATCACATCAAGCATCCTTTCCAACCACAATGCTATTAGATTAGAAATAAACTACAAGAAAAAAAACCTTAAAAAACACAAACACATGGAGGCTAAACAATATGCTACTAAACAATCAATGGGTCACTGAAGAAATCAAAGAGAAAATCAAAAAATACCTAGAGACAAATGAAAGTGACAGCACAACGATCCAAAACCTATGGAACACAGCAAAAGCAGTTCTAAGAGGGAAGTTTATATAGCAATACAATCTTACATCAGGAGACAAATAAACCACCTAACCTTACACATAAAGCAACTAGAGAAGAACAAACAAAACCCAAAGTTAGTAGAAAAAAAGAAATAAAAATCAGAGCAGAAATAAATAGAAACAAAGAAAACAAAAGATCAATGAAACTAAAAGCTGGTTCTCTGGAAAGATAAAATTGATAAACCTTTAGCCAGATTCACCAAGAAAAAAAGGGAGAGAGCTCAAATCAATAAAATAAGAAATGAAAAAGGAGAGGTTACAACAGACACCACAGATATATGATGGATAATAAGTGACTGCTACAAGCAACTATATGCCCATAAAATGGACAATCTAGAAGAACTGGACAAATTTTTTTTTCTCTCTTTTTAAAAAAGTTTTGGCCACGCCCCACAGTATGTGGGCTCTTAGTTCCCTGACCAGGGATAGAACCTGTACCCCCCTGCATTGGGAGCATGGAGTCTTAACCACTGGACCACCAGGGAAGTTCCCTGGACAAATTCTTAAGAAGGTAACAATCTTCTAAGACTGAACCAGGAAGAAATAGAAAATATGAATAGACCAATCACAAGTACTGAAATTGAAACTGTGATTAAAAAGCTCCCAACAATCAAAAAAGTCCAGAACCAGATGGCTTCACAGGTGAATTCTATCAAACATTTAGAGAAGAGTTAACACCTGTCCTTCTGTAACTCTTCCACAAAACTGCAGAGGAAGGAACACTCCCAAGCTCATTCTACTTGGCCACCATCGCCCTGATACCAAAACCAGACAAAGATATCACACAAAAAAGAAAATTACAGGTGAATATCACGGATGAACATGATGCAAAAATCTGCAACAAAATACTAGCAAACAGAATCCAACAACACATTAAAAGGATCATACACCATAATCAAGTGGGATTATCCCAGGGATGCAAGGATTCTTCAATATATGTAAATCAATGTGATACACCATATTAACAAACTGAAGAATAAAAACCATATGATCATCTCAACAGATGCAGAAAAAGCTTTTGACAAAATTCAAAACCCAGTTATGATAAAAACTCTCCAGAAAGTGGGCATAGAGGGAACGTACCTCAACATAATAAAGGCCATATATGACAAACCTACAGCTAACATCATACTCAATCATGAAAAGCTGAAAGCATTTCCTCTAAGATCAGGAACAAGACAAGGATGTCTACTCTGGCCACTTCTATTCAACATAGTTTTTTGGAAGTCCCAGCCACAGCAATCAGAGAAGGAAAAGAAATGAATGCAAATTGGAAAAGAAATAAATAAAACTGTCACTGTTAGCCGATAACATGATACTATACATAGAAAATCCTAAAGATGCTACCGGAAGACTATGAGAGCTCATCAATGAATCTGGTAAAATTGCAGGTTACAAAATTAATACACAGAAATCTCTTGCATTCTTATACACTAACAACAAAAGACAAGAAAGAGAAATTAAGGAAACAATCCCATTGGCCATTGCATCAAAAGAATAAAATACCTA